TACACAAAACAGACTAATATTATCAATTAATTCAATGATTATAATAATGAGAATGTTAAATTAAGAAAAACGACTTAAAAAAAAAAGAAAAATAATGAGCGAATACCAACAATGAAAACAAAAAGATAAGGCGCCGGAGAAATATTTTAAAAATCTGTTAAAAATGCAGAAATTAGATAGATCATTACTCCCCACATCGATTATCATGCAAAACAGCTATAGTCTATCTGAGGTTTTTCACTTTACGCATTTTATATTAGTTTTATGAGAGTAGAGAGTATATGTCAGTTCCACATTTCAGCCCCAAAGGGGCTGCGCTAACAAGCTTTTTATAAATACAATCAAAAAACAAAATGAACGTAAAAAGTTCTTTTTTTTAGGGAAGTCAGTAGGAAATGTTTCTCTATTTATTTCTAATGAGAGAAATTATTAAAAATTATAACTTGATCGATTTTACAAAAAAATATTTTAGAAAAATCAAGTCTCCCAGATCGAACATCCACGGTCGTATACGACGGTTTACGGAGAAAAACGGAGACATACGGAGACCGTAAACGGATCCCGTATACGGAGGTCGTGTAAAAATACGGAGAGATTCAAAGATAAACCCCACTGCTCCGTGTATGGAGATATACGACCACTGTATACGATCGTATATCACCGTGTGCGGTCGTATACGGTCGTATGTTCCATTTTATGACATATTCGTGCAAGTCGATGAGCAAATGTTCTACGAACAGTAAGTATTTTTTTCATATATATTTTTTATTTATTTTAGATTATTATTATTTATATATTATCGAACAGTAACTGTTTTATTTGTTAATGTATTCTTTTTTAGTTATTTTAGATTATTATTTATATATTACTGAACAGTAAGTATTTATAGTTTAATATGTCTATTTTTTATTTTAGATTATTTTTTTATACAATATTGAACAGTAACTATTGTATATATTTTTTTTATTTATTTTAGATTGTTTTAGTTTCCATATTGTGGAACAGTAAATATTATATTTATATATATATAATCTTTTTATTTATTTTAGATTATTTTAATTTCTGTATTACTGAGCAGTAAGTATTATATTAATATATATATATTTATTTATTTTAGATTGTTTTGGCTTCTATATTATTCAACAGTAAGTCTTATATTTTAATATAAAGGGCGTTCCGGAAGTTCTGAAACGATTTTAAAATTCATCGTTCTCGTATTCAACAAATGCAAACTCTTTGAAACTTTGGCATATTATTGCACATATGTAGTGCCACTTAACTACAAAGTTTGAGGTCTGTAGGTTGTACTATAGAGAAGAACCTGTAACAACACTATGATGTACTATTTTTAAAATTTTCCTGTATTTCGGGTCTGCCAAAATATCTATATTTCGGTTTAGGTAGATAATAAAATCTTGAATTTTTTTCAAAATATGCGCCGTGAAAAGCTCTACAAAAATTGTAATAACAAATCCCTATTGACTTGTGTTAATAGTTTCTGCCAAACACAAAATGAAAAACCTACATGATAGTACTACTTCTCACCATATTGTGCGTAATAAAAAAAATGTTCGGAAGACCTTTTTGTTTTGCATGTGTCTCAGCTTGAGAAAATGATAAAATCTTGATTGTTTTTTCAAAAAATGCCCTGTCGAAAGCTCTACAAAAGCTGTATAAACAAATTCCTATTGGAAAGTAAAACAGTCTTCCAAACTTGTTTTTTATTACGCACAATATGGTGAGAAGTAGTACTACCATGTAGGTTTTTCATTTTGAGCATGGCAGAAACTATTAACACAAGTCAATAGGGATTTGTTATTGCAGTTTTTGTAGAGCTTTTGACGGCGCATCTTTTAAAGAAAAATTCAAAATTTTATCATTTACCTAAGCGAAGATATAGACGAAATAAAAGAATGCTGCACACCCCGAAGATGACCAGGAAAATTTAAAAAATAGTACATGTCAGTGTTTTTACAGTTTCTGATCCATAGTACAACCTATAGACCTCAAACTTTGTAATTATGTAGTACTACATATGTACAAAAATCTACCAAAGTTTCAACGAATTTGCTTTTGTAGAATGCGAGAACGGTGAATTTTAAAATCGTTTCAGAACTTTCGGAACACTCTTTATAGGCGGAGCAGACTGAATTCTAAGCTAGGAGTCATTAGACATCATTGCAATTTTACAAAAATCACTTTAATTCCAAAATTATACGAATCATGACTGGATCTGATTTTACAGTGTCGGAAAATATCAGAAGCAATTAGAAACTATGGAGAATTATCAGAAACCAATGGAGATCACTCTAAATCATAGAAAATCTTGATTAATAAAGTTGAAAGTAAAGCCTTGATTTTCACTGATTGCATATGGTTTTTCTTTACTTTCAGTAATTGCCAATAATTCTAGTGATTCCTCTTTATTTATGATTTTGCATGATTTTCCTTTATTTCTCAGTAATTTTGATCATTCTCATTGATTCGCGGTGAATAGATGATAAATGATTTCAAGTGATAGAGTTAGGGATGCAACGGTAACTGTGACCCATCTAGTGGTCCACCGTAGTACCGATCGCACCGGTCTTCGTTCTCCTTGTGGTATGGTGAACTGGTATCACCAGTCCCATGTTCATTTTGTAGTAGATTCCAATTAAAGCGGCACTTAATTGCTAACGGTAACTTGCAAAGTGAATTTTCCGATTAGGAGTGACCTGGATTGTGAAAGTAACGTTGTGGTCGCGAGCTTTTATTAAAGACTTTTTGGGTGCGTCTAACGATGGGGACGGTGAAACCATGAAAAACCTACATTAATTGCCGACGTGTTAGCACAGTTGGCTTCTATTAGCAGAAAGGCATGCGAATAAGGGGGAAAACTGGTCATTCCCTTAGATTCCTGATGCGCTAACCCGCTTCGTCGATTTTAACCTTGACGCCTGAAACTATACCCCTCCATACTTCTAACAAGATGTTGCATTCCCAAATACCTTTACATTATGGGATGCTAGTTGTGTAAAATGACTGGTCTTAGCTGTACTGTGTACAAGCTTGTTGCCTTAGCCATCACCATCACTGTTTCAAGCCAACAATTATACGAATTTAGAAAGTCGTCTATGGACCTTAGCTTTCATGGATTCGCTAGCTCTAACTTCGATTATTGACTTGGAATCGGTCAGTATTAGTTGAAATTGAAATTGAGCGGATCACCATTTCAATTAGTTCGAATCGGAATTGAATAGAGGCGGCACATTACCTTTTCACTGACAGTTACTGGATAACAAAAAATTGTTGCATCTCATTCTTTTGTTTTGGTAAGACTATAATATGGAACTAGTGATTTTCTATAGTTTGACCAAATTAGCTGCGATTGGGGAAACCGACTTAGTAACCATTTTTCCAAATTGTGTACTGAGTTCTTTCACTAAAAAGGAAAAAGTTTTTGGAGAAAATGACGACCTTTTTATAAACCTTGATCACAGATATTCGGGATCAAAGAATCTGATTCTTTAATCAGCTTCTCGGAATTCTATACTTTCCTTCACAGTCATGTTCTCTACTCTGAATACCTTTGATCAACCTTTACAAAAGAAATCGATATTTTCCGATAACTAAATTGTCTTGACGAAAGAATCAAATCAACAAATTTTCCGTCACTCAGTAGCTGCTAAAGGAGCTGTTTATGTTACGATAACTTCGCATCTTTCACGGATTCCAACTAAAATTAGGTCAAAATTGGAGCTGCTACATTTCTAGTGCGCCAACGTAGTACATTTAGATCGATGGTACCGTTACCGTTTGACCCTTAGATAGAACTCATCACTAATCGAAAAATCATTCGAAATTGAAGAAATCAAGAAATTCGTTTGCTGTCCCATGTTCATACATAGCGCTATTTACATCATCTGCTTCGTCAATTACTTAATATAATAATATATATCAATGTAAAGTCACAATATTGGCTTATCATGAATAAAGGTCTCAGAAGTTATCGTTAATTCACTATTCATTTTCTGATAAAATCAACAGAAACTATATTAGCACGTGATACTCTTGTTTTTCTTTTATTGCATATCCAAAATTCTGAGAAATTGACATGAATACATGAGTAATGATTTTCATTGATCTCAAGTGATTTCAAATGATTTTAAATGATTTCACGTGATTTCAACTTGATTTCAGCTATTGAAATCAGTTTGTTCCCCCTTGTAGCTCAGCAAATTGTAAGTATTATACTAGATAAGACTTTGATAGACGTACCAGGCGTTGGGATAGAATGTGAATTAATACTGATTCATGTAAGAAAAAATTTCAATAAATTAAATTATAATATATTATTTTATGAATAAATATAAATTAAAATGGTACTATTTGATTTCTATTAAAACCTGACTTGTTAGCTTTAAAGATAAATTTGATTTGATTTTAACCTTTCTTAATCAATTCATAAAAACTGATTTTAATCGATAAGGCTTTATTCATCGATTAAAAATCGGTTAAAAACAATTGAAATCTATTTTTATAGTTATCTCCAACAAAAATTGCGTTTAATATTGAAGCATTGTCAACAGTTTTGTCTCTTTAGAAAAAGTAATCAAGAAAATTGGAGACTTGAATCATTTTAGTAAAAGAATGAAACGCCAACTGGAAACAAAAAAACGTGAATATGGACGAAAAAAATTATCCGATAGTAAAACTATTAGTGGTAAAAATCGTCTTTCCAGTAAGTCTTTTTGAGACGGGAAAAAATTTGAAAACAAAAATCATCGGAAATGTGAATGTTTTCTATGTTAAGTCAAAATATCATCCGGTTTCAAATGGTATTTGCTTCTACCATCCGAAAATGCAACCACGATCTGGATTTGTTATTTAAACGATCGTGGGCTCTATTTTGGCATAAATATTCAACCAATGATGATCCTTGCTATGATTCTGGCAGCATCGATTGGTGTAGTTATTTAAAAGCTGCTCGTGATGGAACACCATATGACCATAAACCACATGCTTTACCTCGTCCTGTTCTTGATGCAATCAAACCAGTTTTTGACAATCTCTGTTCTTGGAAAAGTCTTGCAAGTGTGATCGACGCGTCAAGTCAGAATCCAAACGAAGGTTTTCTTTCGTTTGTCTGGCTTATGTCACCAAAACACAAGGCAACATCTGGGACAACATTTCAAATTGCTTGTCATCTTGCAATAATAATATTTAATGATGAATATTTTGCATTAGGCAAGACCAAAGGGGAAACAGCTGACTTCAAGACTTCAAAAGATTTCACGAGACTTCAAGCACAGAGATTTCAAATTCTTCAAAGACTTCAGAAGATTTTAAAAGACTTCAAAGAACTTCAAAAGATTTTTGAGACTTCAGAAGACTTTAAAAGACTTTCAAGACTTCATGGGATTTCACGACCGAAGTCTCTGCTGTTTCCCCCTTGATCAAAACTGATTATTCTTCTCGCAAGAATCTAACTGTCGGAATATTTTGCTTGAATTGTTATCGAAAATTAATAATCTAACAAAAAGTAAGCATCACATATTATTTGTAGAAGTAGAATAAACAACATCATCATAAACATTTATTATCTTAATTCGTTTTTTCTCTCAGATTTTTTCATGACTTTCTCTCTTAACTATTTATTATTTGTGTTTTTGTGTACTGAAAAAGTGAGTACACTCTAGAATCGGTCAGTGTGTTCGGCCGTTCGTCCGTTTACACGATAACTTTTGAAAGCAGAGTCAGATCGCGATGAAATATTCTACACAGTTCAGTCTTAACAAGATCTCAGTCGAGTTCGAAGATGAGAAGGATTGGCCGAGCCCTTCCTGAGTTATTGCAAAAATACTGATTTTTCCCTATACTT